TGGGGATATACATTACTTCTGTTGCACTTTGTGTTTGTCTCTTTTGGTGATGTGTAACTTATTTTAGAGCTATTATAACAAACAGGAATGCCAAGCAAGAGATATTAGACAGTTCTGAGGATTGATAATGGGATTTCTGGAGCTATTCCCTCCTGTCTGTGCCTGAAATACAGCCAAGCCCAGCTGTGACTGACACTTCTTCTCACTGAAGACCCTTTAGTGACCCACAAGAAGTGCTTTGGTGGGTCTCAGGACACTCATGTTGTGGACAGAACTGCACTGGGTAACAACCTTGACTGGGATCCTGTGGGAAAACTTCATCCATTTCAAATTCTGGTGGTCATCATCCATGGACATGGAATTAGCATGGATGAAAAGTAAGGAGAGGTTCCTGCAGCTGTTTTCTGTCTCTCCATTGTCACCACCTCTGTTCCCAGGGCCAGGGCAGGGAGGGCTTGTCCTCACTGTGACCTGCACGGGGTTCACAGCCTTGCCACCCCCTCTGGCTGCCCCCCCCCGTGGATCTGCAGCAGGACCCACGATTGTCCCCCCCAGCCAGGGCCAGCAGGCTCAGGGCAGTGCTGGGGGTGCAGGAGCACAGAACAAGTGCAGGTGAACTACAGGAGGCAGAACTTCCCCTGTGTCAGTGGTGGGGGTGCACAGACCTCAGTTCAAACGTTCCTGTCCTCGCCAGGCTGTTTTCCTGCACATCCTTCTGTGCCAGATTTCTGCTTCAAGGACAGTGGGATTCAGGAGTCAGTTCCAGGGAGGCACCTGCTCCAAACACCTTCAATCCTTTGGTGACCTGAGCCAGGGCCAGCACTGCTCATTTCTTGGCTCAGCAACTCCCAAGTGACTCCGAGCAGTTCCTGGGCATCTTTGCTGTCTCTGTACCTGCTGCAGAAAGCAAAGGCAGCTCTTTTTCCAAGGCTGGGGATTCTATGCAGAATATTGGCTGTATAAACTGTCTGACTTGTGGGACTGTCTCTGATACTGCTTCCATTTCTTTTTAGCTGCTTTGGAAGCAGCAACTTGCTTTTCCATTGCTACTCTGTCCAGTTATCTGGCTAATTTAATTTCCTTCTAGATAACATGTTGAGTTTCTCTTGCAGGCAAGAGAGACAAAATTCCTCCTCCTTCTGTATCTGCATCATAACCCTCAGAGCAAGTGCTTTAACATTTGCTATTTTGAATTATTATACAAATTACAGATATAAGCCATAAATATTTATTTCTGATGTATGCAAATTTCTTACATAAGGAGGCTTCTATTATAAGGGAATGAGTTGTATAAAATATTGAGCTCAAATACTCAATATATGTAAAATACCTCAGTTTACTTCATCTTTACTCCACAGTTTGCCTGTGAACTGCCAGCTGAAAGCCTCGATCTGTTGTGTGCTCTTAGGACATGAAAATGCACATTGGCTTTGACAGGGTGACATCAGAAGAACAGGCAGAGGGAATTGGAAATTAGTCCTTTTGGAGCTGTTTGCTGTGTGCTGGCTGCCTGTGCACGGGCTCTGCGGGGGGATGGCTCCGAACAGGACCCCAATTTCCCTGTGGTGTTCTGAGCCTCCTGCTGCCAGGAACGGGAAGGACAGAACTGCTCACACCCTGCCCTGCTCGGGGTGTGACGCTGTCTCTGGGCTGGTGGTGTTGTCCCTGGGCTGGTGACACTGGCACTGAGCTGGTGACACTGGCATTGTCCCTGGGCTGGTGACAGTTCCCTGGGCACACAGACACGCAGTGCTGGACATGAGCACGGCTGTTTCACAGCTGACCCAGGAGGTAACCAGGAGTTTATCCTTCTGTTCAGAAATGCTGTTCACAGGAACTTGGTGTTGGTCCTGAGGTGAGGTGGGCTTGGAACTGCAGAGGGCACAGGGGTTGTTTCACACTGTGCCAAGGGCACTCTGGAGCACAGGAGCACAGGAAGGCAAAGGTCTGTAAAGGTGTCATGATAAATGTAAAACCACATCATAGAATGATGGAACAGGTTGGGTTGGAAGGGACCTTAAGGATCATCTTGTTCCCACCCCTGATTGCTGAGCCAGGGCAGGACAGAGAGCTGGCAGAGCTGCCACACGTGTGACATTCTGCATTTCCCAGACAACAGAGTGTGCAATCCTTGTGCAAGGACATGGCTGTGCCTGAAACTTCCACAAATCAAACTGTCCAGGGAAACGGGAGCAGAGTTTGGTTTGGGGGTTGTTTCAGTGAAGGGGGGTGCTGCCCAAAGCAGGGTGGTGCTGCAGGACCTTCCCTCCCCACACAGCCTGTGCAGTGGCATCAGGCACCAGGGTGGCTGAGAGCACATTGATATTCAGGACTTTTTACTTCCCATGTTTTTACAAGCACATAAAGCAGTGGAAGCTAATTTTCATTTTTATTAAAAAGTGTTTCTCGTTCTTATATTTACACAACATAATGTAGAGAATGAGATGGAATCTTCAGATGACCTGGAAGAGCCTTCTGGGAGATTTATAAACTGTCTACTTCATCTGTAAGAACATTTGTTTTAATTCCCATATAAAAGTGAGATAAATTGGCTTGTAATAACACGAGTCCAAAAATATCTCAAGTTACCACTTTATTTCCATATTGCAAAATAACACAATTCAGTGCATAATTAGAAAGCTGAATTGGAGAAAAGGAGCAGTTGCTCCTGATTAGACTGAAGGCAAAGCTTTAGCGTACAAAAAAGGATTTCTGACTCCTAAAGGGACTTTTCTAAATTTGCAGCCATCAGTTCAGTTATTATATAAACTCTAAGTTCAGTTCTCATGGCCCAGCAGCTGGAAATCTTTCCATTGGGTTAGCAAAGAGTCAGAGGCCTGATCCTGCAGTGCTTTTCTTCCCAGAGAAATCACATTCATGCAAAATCATCCATTGATATAATTTGTCCTGTAAAAATTGCTGGTTATTAGATGTGTGTGTTCCAGACCAGTCTAATTTTCTCTCAAGGTTTTGAAGGTAATTTTTGTCATTTGCATGAATAAAGCAAGAATCTGGAAAACACAGAAATCTAAAATTCAAATGGAAATCACTTATGTAAAAGAAGTGATAAAATCTGGGTGCTTTTGCATGTGAATGATGTCCTCAGGGTTGGGTTTTCTCCAGTGCCTGCTTCAAAGTCCATGCATTTGTAACAGTGTGGGAAGTCAAAATCTGTCAAAATTCAGAATCTGCTTGAGAGAGAAGGAGATGTGAGTGAGGGTGATCCTCCAGAATGACTTTGTCCTTCTGTCATGGGAAATGTGGCTTCAAACCCTCCATGGGAGGGGACTTGCACAGACCAACATCCCATTGTTTTTAGAAAGCCTTCATTTCTCAGGGGTAACAATTAGAATCCTGGAATGGTTTGGGTTGGAAGGGACCTCAAAGCTCATCCAGTTCCACCCCTGCCCTGGGCAGGGACACCTTCCACCAGCCCAGGTTGCTGCAAGCCCTGTCCAACCTGGCCTTGGACACTTCCAGGGATGGGGCAGCCACAGCTTCTCTGGGCACCTGTGCCAGGGCCTCCCCACCTCCCAGGGAAGGATTCCTTCCCAACATCCCAAAATGCCCTCTGGCAGTGGGAAGCCATTCCCCTTGTCCTGGCACTCCAGACCCTTGTTAACAGTCTCTCTCCTTTCCCCTGAGCTCCCTTCAGGCACTGCAAGGTCCCATTAGGTCACCCCAAAGCCTTCTCCCCTCCAGGCTGGATCAGCTCGATCCCAGTTCTCATTCATGTCAAACTGGAGCATCTCCCACTAAATCTGCATCTTAATTTCTTAATTTAATCTCAGGTCTGGGAGCTGCCAGGCTCACCAACCAGCTGTAAAAGGCACACATGAGTTATTAGAGTCCCATTGTGGGTTGAATCTGATCCTTTGTACTTGAAGTCACCCATTTGCATTCATCTAAAGCGCTTTCCAGAGTTTATCAGAAGAAGTGAAATAAGAAATGAAATAGTTTCACGTAAACTGCATTTTTATGTCTGACTGGTAAAACCACAAAGCAGAGATAAAACACATAAAACTGAGGCTCTGCATAATAAGCATATCTATTAGTTCCCTTATCTTTGCACAGCTCCCATTTGTCATGAGCAGCATTGTGTGTCACTCAGCCTGCCTTGTTCTACAAACGCTCCTTTCTCCCTTTCCTTTTATCTCCCATCAGCATTTCCAAGGTGGGAACTTGGCTGGGAGGTGCTGCAAAAGACCCCTTTGATTAAATAATCGTTTCACCTTCGACCCCTTCACTGCAGCAAGAAAGAAAAATTAACACCCGTGTGTGCTGGAGAAACCCCTGCCCGGGGCTCTGCTGCTCCAGCTTTTGCAGCAGCCCAGGACTGAGGTGAAAATGTTGGGTCAAACCCTCCCCAGGGTGAGTCACCTCTCAGTAAGGCCAGTTCCCCACTGGAGTAGCCCATGGAAAACCACGTCAGGGAGCCTGTGGCTGGTGAGGTGCTCAGGATGTACCCACTGTCTGACTTAAAAATACGCAATTTTTTCTTAATAAAGAGCATAACTGAATGTCATGAGCACAGAAACCACTGTGTACTCTCTGCAAAGTTGTTTCAATGAACTGTAGAGAATTAAAGTACAGGAAAGCTGAGAAAATCCCACTTTCCTCAGTGTTTTTAAAAGCAAGAAAGTGTTACTAGCTATGTTGTTATAGTTCCCCTTTTGTAGCTTACAGTTGCCATAAGTTTTAATTTATATCAGAATTATTTCAGTCCAAACAAAGAGACAGAAGCTGTACTGTACCATACTGTGGGAACTGTGTTGGTAAGGACAGTGAAGTGTGTAGGACTGAGCCTCACAGAGGCTGTTGATGGCTCAGGCAGGTGATTTGTGTTGGACCTCGTGGTGTTTGCAGTGCAGAGCTCTCAGCTCACACCCCTGGGTTGCAAACTGGTTCCAAACTGCTGGTCAGGGGTTATTTAATGTCTGAGCTGCTGTTCCCCCGCAGTGCCCCGGTGTGTAACAGTGTCTCCTTGTTGTGTCCCCCAGCTCTACATACAAACCACCACACTCACGATATCCATGAACCTCAGCGCGTCGGTGGCGCTGGGGATGCTCTACATGCCCAAGGTTTACATCATCATCTTCCACCCCGAGCTCAACGTGCAGAAGCGCAAGCGCAGCTTCAAGGCGGTGGTGACGGCGGCCACCATGTCCTCCCGGCTGTCCCACAAGCCCAGCGACCGCCCCAACGGCGAGGCCAAGACGGAGCTGTGCGAGAGCGTGGACCCCAACAGTGAGTACGGCCCCCGGGGCTGCATGGGGCAGGGGGGCACGGGCTGGCACCCGCGGGCAGGGCCTTCATGCTCCTCGGCCGCCTCCATTGCAGGTTTTGGAAGTCTCATGTTTCTTTTCATTCTTTATTTCCTCCCCGCGTTTTTGAGCTGTGCCGGTTGGCAGCGACTCCTCGCAGTGGGTTTGGTAGCTGTGAGCACCTCCTCCTCCTCCTCCTTTCCCTCCTCTGTGAGTGAGATCAGCAGCACCCTTGGGCACCGAACCCCTCAGCCTGTGCCCAACTCGCCCTGGCAGGGACAGGTTCCAGGGCAGATGGAGGGACAAGGACCAAACTCATTGATAACTCTGCTAACCTCAGTTATCATCTGCTTTCGTGCAAAGTTTCTTTGCAAAACTGTCACAGTCCTTGAAGATTCCCATTTAGGGATTTTATCCGGCCCTAATGCAAATCTTGCCAGCGATTTAAAAGGAAAATAGATGGAAAAGACGCTTCCAGTTTCCCTAATGTGCATAGCAGGGGATTGCGCAGCACGAAATTACAGACTGAGGCCATCAAATTTGATTTGCATTTGAATCTGGAAGGGGCTGAGGAAGGAGACAGCTGCACGGCTCTGCAGCATATTGGGAAGGTTTGGGCACGTCTGCAGTTTTTGTGCAAAACAGATCTGGATGTGGAGAAATGCCCTCTCCCTGCCCGGGATCTGCTCATCCGTCAGCTGCCGGAGCCGCTGCCACTTCTCGTCTCCCAACTGCTGCTGGAAGATCTGCCCGGAGCAGCTCTGCTGCCAGAGCAGAGTGGGAACAGGCAGCAAACCATTGACACAGCACTTTGCCTCCCGCTACTCACCCCAGGAGTGCCTTTCTCTGATGTCTCATCATGCAGGTGTACAAAGGATATTCTAACTGGGAACACCAAAGTTGGCTTTGGAAGCTGAACTCTGTGAGATTCCGACCTGAGACAGGGAGGAAATGGTTCTCGTAAATTAAGGACCATATTTGGCCTCTTCCAGTTATATTGAGCAGAGCCCTCAGTGCAGGAGGAAATAAATGGAGCTCCTCATTGGAGTGTTACCCAGTGACAGTCAGGGTCCTCTGCCAAGGAAGGGAAGGAAGGAGAAGAGAATTTTAAGTCAGCTGGGACAGGGCAGGGCAATGTGTGTTGCTGCTGCACTTCATCAATCAGTGTTTGGGTCAAGTGAGTTGCAATTAGTTTCTCCTCCAGAAAACTCAAAACATCAAAAAATTTCCTCTCAAAACTTGAACCACAAGAAAACTACCCCAGTTGTGATGCTGCAATTCAGTGTGGAGGCAGAGCCCTGTGGGAACCCCAGCCTGGAGATGTCCCCTCCTGGTCTCATTCTCTTGTGCTGCATCTTATTGTTGGTCTCAGACTTCTGACAGTATTTCCCCTTCCCACCAAAGAACAACCAGATTTTTCCCTGGGAAGGAGTTATGTTTATTGAAAAGAAATATTGCCCACTTAACCCCCGTGTTTCTGCTAAAATACAACATTTTTCATCTAGAGCTATAGACTAGAATATAAATTCATTTGTTAACCCTGCCAGCCAGGAAATGTTCAATATATTAATTCCTATGTTTTTCCTAAGTACTGGCCTTTTACTTTTTTTTTATGGTTTGGAAAATACATTTTCTTTTAAACCTTTTAATTATTTATCTGGAGTTTCATCTGTTCATTTATCAGCTGCACCTACCACTTCTAGTTCATTCCCTGGGTATGTGTGTTCATAAAAACTGTTATTAGAAAATCAAATGAAATAAACTACTGTACTTAAAATGTTTGGGTCCCAGTGTAACTACTGCAGTCACTGGGGGTTTCCTATAGTGTTCAATAGGTTACTGATTGATGCCCTGATCAGGCTGTCCATACTTAAAGATGGTTTTGATGTTTTTATAGCAATTTAACTTTGAAAAAATATTTTATGCAGCAAATAAGGAAACTTTCAGAGTTTTACCAATTGGAAAATAGGAAATATGGATAAAAAATTGCCCCAGATGCATCAACACAAGGAGCATTTACCTACTTTTTTTAAAATCCCAAGTATCTTCTTTCAAAAGAACACCAGAGGATGTCTTTGCAGTGTCTCTCTGTACAATTGCTTTGCTCCCCAGCGATGGCCAACGACGGCCTCTCCTGGCTGGGACCTGCCCTGGGAGCAGCCCCAGGGTGGGAAGTTCTGCTTGTTGGTTCCCTGCCAGGCTCCTCTGGAGCTCCCGTGGGCAGGGTAAGAGAAATCAGTGGAAGGGGGTTAAAGGCTGAGCCAGAGACTCCTCAACACTGCGCAGAGCAAACCTGGGGCTGGGCTGGCCTCGCTGCCAGGGCTGTTCACAGGTGTAAAAGTACAGTTGGGTTTTCCAGTTTGATTTTCTATTCCGTTTCCCAGTGCTGCTGTTGCTTGCTCAGGTGCTGGAGACTGGAGTTGCCATTTCTATTGGAAAGACACAAATCTTTCACATCTCCCAAGAACCAACTAGCACGGAGCCACCAGCATGGGATTCACGTACCTCCAGACATGGGGCAATTTGGTGACTGAGCCCAGATTTATGGCCTGTCCTACTCACGTGCCAGAGTCAAACCAAAAGCAGATGTGGATGGTTTTACAGAAAAACAGCCTTGAAAAAATCTCCATGATTTAGCAGATTTGAAAAGAATAGAGAAGCTGTGGCTGCCCCATCCCTGCAAGTGTCCAAGGCCAGGCTGGACAGGGCTTGGAGCAGCCTGGGACAGTGGAAGGTGTCCCTGCCCATGGCAGGGGGTTGGAACTGGATGATCTTGAAGGTCCCTTCCAACCCAAACCATTCTGAGATAATGAACTGAAGATGTGCTTGTAAAGCTGGAAGGCCTATAAATGTCCTGAGTGGCTTCCCAGGAGCAGGTGGTTCTCAGCAGTGATGCTGAGCATCATGTGCAGCCTCTGCACACAACTCTGGGGGCATCTGCAGGAATTCAGGCTCCAAAACAAACGTGCAGAGCACTTGGGAGAGCTGGACTCACACACTGGGGGTTTAGTGTGAGTATAAAAGAAGAGACTGATTAACATGGGAGAAGAATCACTCCAAGTGCAGTGACCTCACAGCCCACTTACTGTGGAACAGGGACTCTCCATGTTCCAGATTTTCTTAGGATCTGTGGGAAATCAGAAGTTTCACAAGCTGAGCTCCCCAGCCATGCTGTGGGAGGGCTTTCCTGCTGGATGTGATATATTAAGGCCAAGGTTTTCAATCTAGGAAATGTCTCTGGTTTGCCATCTGGCACGTTCATGCTTCCACTCCTTTCACAGCTTTGCCCCCCTGATGCATGTTTGCTGCAGGTTTGGACGAGCAGAATTTGGTGCCCAGCAGCTTTGTCCACATGAGTTCATCCTGCTCTCGTGTGTCTTTGGCTGGATTTCCCCCTGTTTGAGAAGGCGCTTCTCAAGTGTGAGCTGGAGCAGACAGTGAATGCTCTGCTGGGCTGTGTCTGCTCCTGTTTGTGCTGCAGGAGCAGAGTGTCAGACTGGGAGAGAAACATTTGAACCTCCAACCCATACTTAACTTATATTGAGATTTACATGTAATTACTCCTTTTCCCAAGCAGCTTGTTTTAATTCATGGCTTCACCCGACAGAGCGACGGCAATCAGCGCCCGGGGCCTTGGCAGTGAGGAGGCTGTGCCTGCCATGGGCTGGGCCAGCAGTGTCTGCCTTCACAGAGCTGCAGATGGGTGGAAGGGACATCAAAGCAGGGACACCTTCCCTAACCCTAACCCCAGCCCAGGTTGCTCCAAGCCCCGTCCAACCTGGCCTTGAACACTTCCAGGGATGGGGCAGCCACAGCTTCTCTGGGCAACCTGTGCCAGGGCCTCCCCACCCTCACAGGGAAGAATTCTAACCTAAATTTCCCCTCTTTCAGCATTAGAACTTAGTTGGCAGCTGATTGAGTTTTTAGTGGGGAGGTGCAGTCACAGCATCGTCCCCCAGCACACCAGGCACTGTTTGCATGGTCTGTGTTCTGACAGCGCTTTCTTGAGCACTGCCGGCCCCTTCCATGCCAGCAGCAGCGAGGGCACTCTGTGTCCATCCCAGGGGCACTGAGGGCACTCTGTGTCCATCCCAGGGGCACTGAGGGCACTCTGTGTCCATCCTCACTCTTCTCCATCCTTGAGAATGAACACTGAGCTTGTGGGTTCCCATCATTAACCTGTGGATGGTGCCTGTGGATCACGAGCATGTCCTGTTTGTGTGTTCACTGCTCTTCACCCTTAACAGCACTGAGGGCACGTAGGAAAACACTAATCTGGTTGTTGATAATGCTGAGGAGCCTGTGAGTGGCTGTGTTGGTGAGGAGGGACTGGGAGAACTGAAACTAAAGCCAAAATGTCCCAGAATTCGTTCAGGGGAGAGGAAGGAAAAAAATAACCAACCAGAGCTGCTGTTGTGTGAGCAGCTGCTCCCATGTTCAGAGGTACCTGGACTCTGTGACTGGTTCATTTGTTGCCTACCCAGAGCTCATTCCTGTGCTGGTGCTCTCAGCTTTGCACTGCTCTAATCCGAGCTCTGCAGCCGGATTAGTGTCACGGGCTCATGGCAGGGCAGCTGTGAAGAGTTTGCTGTGCACAGATCCTACAGACCAATGTATTTACTTTCCCTCAGACTGCATACCACCAGTAAGAAAGAGTGTTCAAAAGTCTGTTACTTGGTACACTCTTCCACCTACTGTATAGCTTTTGCCTGCTTTCCAAAAAGGTAAGGAAAACCGAGCTTCTTATTATTTTATTCACAAGTGATGATGGTTCTTATTATTATATACATAGTTATATGCAGAATGTTCATTAGTGCAGCTATGTTAAAACAAGTATCTAACTTAAAAATTGTTCACAAATCCATTACCAGAAGCTGCCATGGGAAGGCTTTCCTGGAAAAGGGGAGACCCATAACGTGGGTGATTCCAATGCCTGTGTTGGGATCCCTGAGCACCAGCACCTGGTAGTCTCCTGCTTCCCACCACTGGGGGTGGATCCCAATAGAGCTTTTGAAGATGGAGATATTCAATAACCATTTAAAAAAGGAACAAACAAACGATCAAAAGTTAATTCTGGCCACCAGATCTAACAAGTAACAAAATGTTTTCTGAGTCATTTCCAGCATCTCTACCCACAGGTTTGCCTGGTAGCACAAAAATAACATTTGCCAACATGTGAGCTGAGCAACCCTCTTTACTCTAAAATTAAAAATGGCTCCAAAAAAGTTTGCAAAACCTTCTTTTCCCCATGGGAGAGCCCAGTGACCACTTGCTGCTGTGGAACCACAGGTGAACAATTTTTGAGGACTGACTTTTCCTGAGTGTTGTGGCTGCCCTCGTGGTGATGTGTGAGCTCACTTGGTACTTGTGACTGCATCGGCCAGGAATTCCTGCTGCTCTAGGGCAATTAGAGGAACAAGAAAGCCTTTGACATTGGGGAAAAATTACTAACAACCTTTAACAGCTATTTCTCACAATTCTGTGTGCACTCAGGGGGTTTGTCCCTCTCTTTGGGACTTTGCCCACTCCTTTGGGCTTAGCCCAGGTATGGAAGGTGCTGATCTGGTTACTGTGGTGCTGTGCACTGAGGGCCTGAAGAAATGACTATTCAGCCTTCAGAATGTTTCACTGATTCCTCATAGATGAGAACTTATATCAGCAAAGGTAGGAATGTTGCTTGAATTGAGTCTCTGAGTCACAGGAAAAAAGATTCCTAATATCTCTGGTGGTGTAAATTGCCCCAGCTCCAGTTTCAATTTAGTCCTTGGAGTGTTCAGATTGGTTTTATTGTATTTGAATCAGGGCCATTATGTCAACTCCCAGCTCAGGCAGAAAGGCTGATTTGAGGTGTGAAGCTCTTCATGAACATCGGGATGACCTGGAGCATCGGAGGGCCAGAGTCAGGAAGGGTGATGATGGCTGGGCTGGAGGGAAATGGAACAAAGCAGTCGAGGAGGAGAAGGGGCCACTCAAAGTATTATTGCAAATGAAATGGGAAAGAGGAAAGGGCAGCCATGTGAAGATGAAATTGTTAAAGGAAGGAGATGAGAAGGAGAGAGATAGAAGACGCCTTAATCTGTGGAGAAATCACTTTTTAACAAAAAACTGGAAAAAAAAAAGCACAAGCATTTGAAAATAAAATAATTAGGAGCTCACATGGATTTCTAACATTAATTTTCTCCATGTAATAGTGGAAATAATATGAGGCATTGCTGTCTGCAAAGGCACACAAGTAACGTTGTCATCCAAGTCCTAAAAAAAGCAAATTGGCCATTCAGACTCTTTGAGCAGATTTTAAAATTTGGTTCAGAAAAGCTGTGAAAATGCTATGGTCAGGGCTGGCTTGGGCTTGCACTGGTCCTGCCAGAGCTCCTCTGCACCAGGCTCTGTTCCCCATCCCTCCCCGGAGCACTCCTGCTCCAGCAGGGCTGGTGGCTCTGGCTGCTGCAGCTCTGCTTGCTGCTTTGATTTGTTCTTCCAGGAATACAAAACGAAAACCAGCAGGAAACAATACACTGTATTAAAAACAAAGCAGGGATAGCAGGAAAACATCAACTCGGTTGTAAATTGACACTTGTTTATGCTGGTAACTTATTTGTGGTAGGTATGGACACAGAGCTGAGCCCTGACGTGACTGTATCAATTTCTGCTTGTGATGCACAGAGTTTGTGTTTAAACTTGTGTTTATAATGCTTTAAATTGCTTCCTGGGAGTGACAAACAGGACTTCTCTGCTGGAGAGACTGCTGAAAATACAAGGCTTGAAAAGCTCTGTGTGGTAGCTGGGTCAAGGTGGCTTGTCCATCACTGAACAAGGCAGGGAAAGTCAATGTTCTGGAGAGCCACAGCTGGTGCTGCAGAAATGCCTGCTGCACTTTTCTCCTGATCCAGGGCAGCAGGAAAAGGCGGTCCAGTGACCAAAGTACTTTTGATATCTGAAAGACCTGGATCAGTCCCTTGGGCTTTGGAGCCTCCCAGTGCAGGGCTCCACAGCTCTGTTCTCCCTCCCTTCCCAGATCTCCAGGCAGCACAAGATTCCCCCCTCGCTGTGTGCTGGGCACGAGGCTCTCAGGGGTGAGGGCAGGGAGGAGCAGCTCAGCAGGAACCTGTCCTGACCTTGGCCTCTGCATTCCTCTGGAATTCCTCTCGGTGTCCCCAGGCTGGCCCTGTGCACTGCTTTGGGCAGTGAGTGCATCTCCAATCCTTACTGAATTCCTTTGGAAAGGCCAGTCCCTGGAGCTGTGTGTGAGCTCTGGGTTTGCTCTCAGACCCAGCTGGGCACTGACACCACTGGGGCTGGTTCACAGCTCCAGTCACAGCAGGAGCCAGGGAGGCTGGGCTGGGCAGGACCTCCCCTCCCGGGGCTGGGCACAGTGTGCTGCTTCCAGAGGCTTTCCAGTTGCTTCCCAAGTCCTTCTTGGCTGGATCAGCATGCAGAGGAGTGTCCCTTGTGATTGCCAAGTGCTCAGACAGTCTGTGAGGGATGTGCAGCCCCACACCTGGGGAGTCATCGTGTGTCTTGGTCACATCTCCCCTAGAATATAAATGCAATTACTGAGATTGCTCTGGAATGAAGCTGTTGTGATATGAGTCATGATGTGGTTTCAAACTGATCCTGGGCTTATGCTGGAAGAGGTAAACAGAGGTACCCCCAAGTGCCAAGGATTTTCCATGCCTGTCCTTCTTCCCTGGGAGCCCAGGGCCCACAGAGCCCCCCTCACCCCCAGCAGTGGGGTCCCTGGGGAAGGGCAGCTCTTTGAAGGCTGTGGGTCTGTGATGCTCTGTAGCTCATCAGGCCCTTGGGTGTGTGGTGGAGAATAATTATTTGCTGGATTGAAGCGTCATTTTTATTTTAAATCTGGCCCGTTTCATCCCGAAAAAGTGTTCTGTGTTTAACCTCACTTGAGGGATTTTCTGTTCAGTGGAGGCTGCTAAGAAATGAGAATTTGCAGTCAAAATTGTCTTTGACAGCTCTTCACGGCATATATTTTGATTCTGGAATGGCTGACTGGAAAACTAAACATCATAAATTCTTCTAACACTGATATGCTTATTTTAAAAGTATTGCCTGGAGATTCATCGTGGCCTTGGACACTTCCAGGGATGGGGCAGCCACAGCTTCTCTGGGCAACCTGTGCCAGGGCCTCCCCACCCTCACAGGGAACAATTCCTTCCCCAATATCCCATCCATCCCTGCCCTCTGGCAGTGGGAAGCCATTCCCTGTGTCCTGTCCCTCCATCCCTTGTCCCCAGTCCCTCTCCAGCTCTCCTGGAGCCCCTTTAGACCCTGGAAGGGGCTCTCAGCTCTCCCTGGAGCCTTCTCTTCTCCAGGTAAACCCCCCAGCTCTCCCAGCCTGGCTCCAGAGCAGAGGGGCTCCAGGCCTTGGATAGAACATTCCCTCCTGTCTGAACATTTGGGGATCACGGTACTTTCTTTCTACATCTAAAAATAACTACTTTGGATGGTGCACTTTCGTACATTCACACAATTGCACGCTCCCATATTAATTATTTGCAGACTGTCTCACACCTTTCATGACTTACATGACACAAGACTTGTAAATATGCAGGGAAGTGTCAGACTGTTTCCTTTTTTAAAAATTAAAATTCTTAGGGCACTTAAACCATCACCTTCAAATTTGATGTCTGAATAAAAACACATTATTCATGGCTAGAAGTGCCTTGGATATTAAAAGTAGGGTTAGATGCTTGTGAGGAACAACTGAGTATTAATTAGTGTATAAGTATTCATATTTCATTCCATTTTTTCTGTTTGTCTTCTTATGTGTTTTTTTTTCCCTAGGAAATTTGGAGGAAGAGTGAGCAGATATAGTTAGACCTCATGGACCAGTCCCTCTCTTGCTTTTTTACTCGGTAAACTCTCAGTAGCTCTGAGTTCTCCCGTTGATTAATTTATCAGTCCTTACATCCTCTCAGGGAGACTCTGTCAAATTTATAAATTGTAATATCAGGAAAAAGACAAGACTTTTGGCTCTCTTCTCTTCCATCTATTTCTAATGACTCCCTTTCTCCCAGACAGGGCAGATGTCACCGTGCCAGGGCTCAGCTGGTGCTGTTCCCTCCCTGTCCCTGCTGTGCTCTCCTGAGCACCCACACCCCACTCAGGGTCAGGGACAGGAGCAGGGAACAGTTGTGGGATTGGGAAATGGAACCTGACATTCTCACCTCGATTCCAGTGGAGTCCCTGGCATTTCCCCAGCCTGGGACCTGCAGGATTTGGGGTCCTGTTTCCTTTCTCCCCGACCCAGGCACCAGGGAGCAGAACTTGTATCTGGCCGCTTTTGGAATGGGAATTATTTCCATTTTTGTTGCCACTGACACATCCCCTGATGGCTCCAGCCTCTGGCCAAGGGGTTGTGTTTGTGTCACAGCCTGCACAGGGCTGCTCCAGCCTCCTTGGGTGCCTTTGGGGATTCTACCCAAACCTTGATATATTTTGTCACCTCGTGGCAAACAAAGCCGTGGCAGATTGTGGTGCAGGGCTGGGGAATGACAGCGCTGATGGACTGGGGGAGTGGGAGCTCAGGGACTGAGGCACAGCCCAGCACTCCTCTGCCACTGACAGAAATCACCCTGGAAAGGAGGCAGAGATTGTTTCCTGTTGACACGGAGAGCAAACAGAGAATATATTTGTGCAGCAGGGGCCTGGGTTTGTTTGGGTTTTGGGGGCCAGGAAGCAGCAGCAAATCAAAGCAGTGGCACATCAGAAATTGAGTTTTCTCAGTGTTTCTCTCTCACAGGCGCTGCTCTCACACCCGAACTCTCTGGAAAACATCACAGGGTGTTTGTTTCTTTTTACTGGCTTCAGGGAAGGAAATGTGGGCATCTCCCAGCAATGTATGGGGCACATTAGAGGAGAGCATCCTTTTGGTCATGAAAAGAGGTGTTTTGACTTTGGGGTGAGGTTGATTGTTTTCCACTCTGATGGCAAGGAACAAAGGCAGGGGGGTATTTTTTGCCATAGAGCAAAACAAAAAGGGAAGGGAATTAGGTTAAATACATGTAACTGTCCATGAAACACAGTGGAGACACATAATAGGGAAGAAAGGCATTCTGGGGTTTGGCTGAGTTACTCCTCTGTGACTCAGAGCTCTGGGTCTTACCTGGGAGCAGAGTCTGGCACTGCATCCACTGAGATGTGTGTTCTTGCTGTTCAGTGGAAAAAGAAATAAAAAGATACAGTTGCCATGGTTACAGCATTTGTCACGATGCTTATCATGTCCCTGGCATAAAGAGCCCTGCATTAAATCTGGGCTCTTATTAATATCAGCTGTTAAACATTTCCAGGGTATTTGAAATCAAGACTTTCTGCTAAAAAATTAAATGTTGATTGCAGCAAAATTGAGCTGTTAAACAGTGCAGCTCGGAGTGTAATTTTGTTAGACACTGTGTAACAGAATCATACACCAGGAATACATTTTCCAGGGAATTTAGTCTCTTTGCACCTCATGAACATTCTTGATTTTCCTGTTAGGATGTTTGTTACCAGCAACTCTGCCAAGGAGTTGGAGCAGGCCAGCTGGCAGGAAGGGAGGGGAGTTCCTGGGTGTAAGAAAATTATGACTTGTCTGATTACTGTGTAACCATGGAAAGGCTGAGAGAATCGGGACTGTTCAGCTTGGAGGAGAGAAGGCTTCAGGGTGACTTAATTGTGGCCTTCCAGGACCAGAAGGGGCTACAAGAAAGAGGGAGAGGGACTTTGGACAAGGGCCTGGAGTGGCAGGAAAAGGGGGGGAATGGCTTCACACTGGCAGAGAGTAGGGTTAGATGGGATATTGGGAAGAAATCCTTTGCTGTGAGGGTGGGGAGGCCCTGGCACAGGTTGTCCAGAGAAGCTGTGACTGCCCCATCCCTGGAAGTGTCCAAGGCCAGGTTGGACGGGGCTTGGAGCAACCTGGGCTGGTGGAAGGTGTCCCTGCCCATGGCAGAGGTGGAACTGGATGGGCTTTAAGGTCCATTCTAAGCCAAACCATTTTATGATTCTCTGATTCTTGGATATCTGCTTGGGTCACAACACTGGGATTTGCATGGAGAAGAGCTGGGGTGTTGCTGGTATAGGGACTGGCCACCAAAAGGTGCTGTTTGGGAATGGATTTGGTGTGGGGGGGGGTTGTGTTGGTCCTCGGTAGCTGGAGAGAAGGGGGTAACACATCACAGGATGGCAGGAGAAATAAATGATGGAGAGATGTCCTGGGAAGTGCCAGGGCCATGCTGGGAGGGGAAGGGCGGCTGCAGAGCTCCCAGCCGTGCCCTGGGGCTGGGACAAGGCAGTGGGGACACTCTGGAACACAGTCAGGAGCCAGAGGTGAATTGTTTCCTTACAGCTCTGACTCCAGGACTCCTTTGGGATGTTTTAGCCGATCACTCAGGTCATAATTTTGATTATGTTTCCTGCAAACTGTTTTCACACATGGCTCTAACAGCTCTCCCAGAGCCAGGCTTTCCAGGTGAGATAACCAAAGTGCTGTTAATTACTTGGGTTTAATCAGGTGAAAATAATTTGCTTCTGTTTGTTATCTTTCCAGTCCACAGCATTCAAACAGAAACATTAAAGAGGTAGTTTGGATTAGTGGGTTTTCTGTACCGTTGGCTCCAATTAAGGAATAGGAGTTGGGTTTGTTTCTCCCCTGCCATAATCTCATACAGATTTGGAGACACATTTCCTAAGATCCTGTGCACTTCTCCAGCTACCTATGAGGCCGGTGCAGGTGAGACACTGGGCATGGGATTGGGGTGAGGGTTGTACAGTGGCTCTGCCTGTCCTCTGGGAACCACTTCCATCCTCACGTTCTGCTGCACTTGGAGCAGGATTTCTGTCCCCCATGGCCTGACCACATCCCACTCTCAGAGCACAAACACAGCTCTTCCTGAAGCCTCTCTGCAATCTTTCACTGCTGGAAGTGTTGATAAAGCCTTCTTGCTGTTCATCCTCTGATCCCACTCTCGCTGATACTTTCAAGCTTCACCTGACACAGAGGTTTTTATCTGCAAACAGACAAGGAGGAGATTGGGGAAGATGCAGCCAAACATGCTCGAGATTGATGTTCTTCAGCAGTACCTACTTTGTTGATTTTAGCTTTTATTTGGAAGGGTACAACTAATCCTCTGTTACAATCTTATTTCCTGACTCCAAATCTCAATCTCATATTCTCTGTCTGGCAAAACCCTGATGATTTTTCAGGCCATAAACAGTCTGGCTCTACTCTGTGACTCAAAGTCACATTTTATTTTAATGGCTCAGATGGGAAAGTTCAGAGGAAGGACTCTGGATTGATCTCTGCAGGTGCCCACCTTGATAACACCTGCAAAGCCCAGGGGTGGCAGGCAGAGCTGATCCCTCAGCACAGCCCCGGGAGGCCAGAGCAGTGCCTGTCACCACAGGCATTGGATCATCCCTCCAGCTTAACAAAGGGAGTTTATTGAGGCTGACAGAGGTATTGGCATGAGCAGCTCCGAGGCAGAGAGATAAATGTGCTTTGTTTGTGTACAGAGAACTGGCCCTGGCCCTGGGAAATCTGTTAGAAATGGTGAGTGCCACCTCCTGTCAGTGAAAACAGGGAATACAGATCACAGCCCAGTGCTGGGGGATATCCCAGGACACCCCATAGCCCTGGTTTTACAAGTAATACAGGTGCACAACTTTGTAATATTTTTCAGAGGAGCACATTTCCTCACTGAGTTTCCTCACTGAGTTTTGCCCTTACCACGGTCCTGTCTCCTGCCAGAGACACCTGGATTTCAGTAACTTTCCTCAGGGATGTGTTTTGCCCAGGAAAGGAACCTGCCCCTGGGATCCCAGCACTGGGAGTGTGGGCAGGGAGAGGGACTGTGGGGGCACGTGGGTGCTTCCAGCAGAGTGGTGGAAAACCAGAGAGACCTGAAGCACTCCCTGTGTCCAAGGGGGACTATGCTATACAAGTGTTGTGAGGAACCAATAACTTTCCACATTATTTTATACTGTACTGTAAATTTTTAGGGTGAGCAATGCTGGTTGTGCTGAAACTGGGAGGTGCTTTGCCCTTGACTGGAGCAGGAGTGGGATTTCAGTGGATTGCAATTCCATGCCTGTCTGGAGAGCTGGAGTTGAACTGGGAGTTCACCACTGCACTGTCCTAAAGACAGCAAGTGTATGGTTTGTGCTACATTCTGTAGGATTTTCCCTTACTTGTCTTTGTAGACAGCTTAAGTCTGCTCTCCAGGAGCAGAGTCAGGGCAGTGTGTTGGTTATCCCATGCCATCAGGAAAAGCTTCCCAGCACACAGAGCTGTGGTTGTTCCCCTGTGCCAGAGCCCTGTGGCTCTGAGCTCCGTGCACGAGCTCGAGTCTGTTATTTATCTGGAACATGAGATGAAAACATGCCCAACTTTCAAATAGTCCCTTCATTCTTCTTTCCTCTTTCCAAAGAGCTGCCACGTGCACACGGACTGTGCAGAACGACCTTTACATCATTCTGTGGCTTTAGGGTGAGGGGTGTGATAAGCTCCAATCCTTCCTGGGATTCCCTGGGAAAGCCTGTTTCACTGGAATGAGTGGGTATCATTCTGCTTGAAACCAGGTCAGAATTGTCTGGCTTTGTACTGCAGTGCAAGCAAGTGTTTAATAGAATTGCTTTCCCTGCATTGCCTGAGCTTAGAGTTCCTTCATCCCTATGGATATAAAAGTTCACCAGCAGATTGGGCTCAATCCAACATGTTTGCAAGATGCCAAAGCAAACACTTACTGTATGAACTCAACCCTCCCATGCTGTCTTAGGCTTTAAGAGGGTCATGTTTTTGCCACTTTGACCTGAACTGATTCTATCATTATGCCATTATCCCACCCAAGAACTGCCTTTATTATTCTTTCTGCTAGATACATTCCCTGTTCTCACAGAAAGCGCATCGTAACAAAAGTGGGGAGTTAAAAACACACACCCCAAGAGCTGCTACTACTTGAAAGCTTTATAAGCTAAAACAGACTTTTTAAGGAAAAACCTATTTCAAATCCCCATGTGGCCTGGGGAACTGGCAAGGTCAGACTCTTCCTTCCTATTAAATCCTCGTGGGAACTTCAAAGGAATCCTCATTAAAAGAGCCCAGGATATTGAGTATTTGTAACAGCTGCATTAGCCCGGCGCTGCCCTGCCCGAGTGGTGACAATGCCCTGTGTGGAAGGCTCCCAGGGAGCTGTGGCACTCCTGCAGCAGCTCTGCAGGCTGGCTGTGCTCAGGGGCTGCGTGACAGGAGGGTAAACAGCCGTGTCTAAAAGGGAGAGTAATAAGGAAGCCCTACAGGTAAAATGAGCCTCGGATAAAATATGAGGAATTCAGAAGGGG